CCATGACGAAGTATAGATTAAACAGAAGAAAAAACCAATGTTCGTAAATAATTATTACATTATCAGATATTCAGATTATTAAAAGTTTAATAAAAGCAACAGTAATAAAAAATATAAATTGAAATGAGAAATATCTTAGCTAATAAATTATTGAAATAATATACACCCACAAAAACCTATATAAAATACAAGATAAAAATTACAAAACATAACCTGCTGTAACTGTAATATTTAATTTTTAGTTTTTAAGTTACACATTTAATTGATGAATAGTTCGTAGTGCATTTAATTTTAAAGCGTTTACATTATTATACCACAGCTACAACTAAAAATGAAACAATATAGTTTTAAATTTAAATTTAATTAAAAATCTATGTTATTTAAAAAAAAAAAAAATAAATAAAATAAAAGTTTTAAAATGTATTAATATTATAAATTTGATTTAATTTGAATGGGTAAATCGAATATTTTACCTACTAACATCTACCTAGCAACTAGTAAGTATCAAATAATATCAGTTAATAATAATTATGTATTATGATTAATCAGTTTTTTTTCAATTGCGATTTTTGTGCTTCTTTCAGAAGAATCCTGAAGGGTAAACTCATATTGTTGCGAATGTCAATATCGACATATGAAAATCTTTTATTACGTACTAGGTATTTACTCGATGTGTGTTACTTCTTATAACAAATAATATAAGTAATAGTGGTTAGACTCAAACGGCCATAACACACTGTGATTATAATTAAACGACAACCGGACAAAAACAGGATTGTTAACCGTCGCTCGTGCCCTTGGCGTCGAACTTGTACAGACACGCACACGCCATATATATTATATATTTACATATGTCATAATAATATTATATTATGTACAACATACAGCTGAAATCGATCAAAAACGATCGACGCATTCTGCGTTCTTTACATTAATTAGTGATCGGTGAATAAAATTGACATATTGTCGATAATTTTGTACCTTCTGATTTGTATACTGTATTAAGACTATCAAAAAAAAAAAAAAAATTAAATACAATTTTTTTATATAGTTGTTTGATTTAAATAAATAATATTAAACAATTTAACATTTTTTAATTATGGCTTTTCTGTAAGAAGTAACTTACAGGTGTTTAGGAAAATTAAAAACGTCCATTTAGCATTAGGGTGATTTATGTATGAATATCAATTATATTTCCAACGTCTACTAAGACGAAATATAATATACGCGTGAGTCTCTGATATCTGCAGTGACAGAGACTTTGACGGTCGTATAAGAAGTACCTACATATTTTTTATACTACATTTATACATATTTTTTCTTAATCGCCTTAATCAATTCATACTATAGTATTTAAATGTTTTATTTAAATTTAATTTTCTTATAAATGTGTCACACATTATTTAATATTGATAACGTGCATTAGATTTAACACCATAATTATATCAATAAAATAATGTAATTAAGTACAGTGGGTTGTCTTTATTTGAACCTAACTTGGTATTTATTGGAAACCACAATTTACAATAATTGCCGTAAATATTGGTAAAATCTCTGATTATGTTTAACATAGACTAGTTAATGATTACACCTCATACCATATTTTTATCAATTGAAAGATTAAAAATTATTTTTGAAATCAGAATAAAATAAGTATAATTTAATGAAACCATAAGAAAGTCTTAGTAAAATATCTAAAAATTAATAATTTTAACCATCGAGACTATCATTATTGTAAGATTCATTAATGAATGAAAAATCTCTCTTTAAAAATTCTATCTTAAAGTTTTTAAAGTCTTTTGAATTCTTAATATCAAATTATTACAATTTTCTTTATCATTAGCAACTTTTCATTTTAATTTTTTTTAAAAATTCTTTGCCTCGTTCTTTGCTATTCTAGCATAAGGCATTATTTTACATTTTCTTTCAGGAACATTTTTATCTACAATCTTCATAAGTTCTTTATAAATTTCATTATTGATTATAAATGGTATTACTTTATTTACTGTATTTCCGTGTAAGATATGCTTGTTTGGTTTGTTATGTTCAGAACTGTTTATTTTGCAGTTGTTTTCATTGATAGAGTTATACATTAAATGATTATTTTAGATTATAGGGTTACAAAGATGTGGTTGAAAATTAGATTTCAATTTATGTAGATTTAACATTAATAATTATGGTTGTAGAAAAAAAAATTAAATACGCTACAACAATTAATTTGAAATACGTTCAGAAAGTGCCGATTTAATTGTGATTGTAAATATTTTATCCACCTATCTTTCACACTTATTAATGAACTCATATGGTCAATATAAATAAATATTTAATTCTTAATTTTTATTATAATTAATAGCTAAGTAAATTGTGATTTTATTTTTTAAATGCGTCACAAGATACTAAAATAATCTAACCTTGTGTTTCATATCATTAATTTTATGTTTCTGTTTATTTATTAATACTACTTTTTTCCCTAGATATTTTTTAGTGCAACAATCAGTTTCTGAGGAATATAAAACTATACTATATACATTTAGTTTCACTAATAAATTCTATAATTAATATGTTGCTTTATGCTAAATAGTGTATGAACAAACAACTATGTATACCTACTAATAATACATTTAACTTGAATCATTTTATCAATAATTATGATGTAAAGGGCAAAAATTTTGATTTTTTTTTCTTAAATGTCTTTCATAATCATGTTCATCAATTACTAGTTTTAAAGATTTTAAAAACTGAAATATAGTATTTGGGTCAGCCATTAATAATATTTTTATGGTTTCTTTTTAAAGCGGTAACTTCACTTTTTTAACACCTTTTGACAACATTTCTTATACATATTTTATTATATCGCTTTTAAAATTTATTTTTCTATTTTAAGTATTCCAATTTAAAATTGTATTTTTAATGAGTAAGTATGTATATAATTGTGAAAGTCTATTAATTTTGGCCAATGATAATTTATTATTTCAGCAACCACAGCTATTAAAACTTGCCGGTTATCAATTTAATAGCAAATAATGTAAGTAGTAACTAGTTACTAGACAACATAATATTATTCATAAAAAAATTTTAACTTTAATGTTTAAACGTATTTTAATTTATTTAATTTTACATATGTGCAAAATAAAACATAAGTTTATTGAATCAATATTTGGCAATATTTATCTTTTATACCTAACCTAACCTTTCTTTTGACTTTTTTTTTTCAATAATAAGTATCATTATTATGATAGTACACATACTATTTAGTAAACTTACATACGAATAATTATAGTTTTTATTACAAAAAATATACTAAACTTAAGTGGAAGGTATCAAATACATAATTATTAAAACAACGTCAATTACCCAATTTATAAATTTAAGTGTAAAACTGATTGAATGCTTAATAATTAAGTGAACGAGTTTCAAAGGTCAAAGCAATTTATACCATCTAGTTATAATTTAAAAACAATTACTTATTTTTTGCTATGTAGACATTAACTAAAGATTATCAAGTATACATTTATCAGTATGTAAAATTTCTTATATATTTAATTTATAGAAATGAGTATAATATTCGTTTTGGTTTTTAAACTCACTAAATATCTTCAAATTAAATTAATCATAGGTATATTTAACACTTGAAGTGCAATATAATATGTAGATTACAAGTATATTAATATATATATATAATTTGCATTTATATTTTTATTTAAAATAAATTTAATTAAACATATGTATATAACATTTTTTGGTAAGTTTTATCAGAATAATTATTTTAGTTAGTTTTATCATAATTCATAACACAGTGTTATAACGTTAGTGGCAAAGAAGTATGGACTCTCGAGTACCATTTTAACGGTGCTAATAAAGCCTACATGACGAGAATAAGCTGATGGTTTATAATTTGTGTTAACTGTATTATTTTATAATAATAATCAAAAATTCAAATAATTAAACTATACACCTATTATGTCATATATAATACAGAATTACATTATTTAAAAAATTAAATAATTATCACTTTGTTTATAAATATATTTTTATTATTTTTACATTGTCCAAGACTCGAGATTTATAGCCCTTAAAATCATTAAATAAGAATTTAAAAATAACGCTTAAAACCATCATTATAATATTTTATAAGCAATCAAATAAGTATTTAAGAAACTTAAATTTAAGCAAAAATTTTATTTTTACGCGATAAAGTAGATACTATACAGAAACTGAGATAAAAATAATATAATTAAAGATTACAAAAAATATCAAAACAAAATAATTAGGAAAAGTTTCTAACTAAAAAGCAAAACAAAAAAAAATCTTTATATTATAAAAAAATCAAACTTCACTTTCGAGACATTTTGCCTTATTGTTTATTCTATCATAAACAATAAAAAAAAAAAAAAAAAAAATAATCAGAAAAAATAAAAATAAGTATCTTTTTGAAAAATCGCTGAAAAAAAGCAAAAAAAGCACTTTCAAATTTCATAATTGAATGTGTTGTAACATGACATAGGTACACTTCCATACCATTCTGCCACATTTTAAATCAATCCATAAAAATAAGCAAATGATTTTAGTCCTGAGCTCTAATAATAGCGAACGAATATAATTGTATTATATTTATTTTTTATCTTACCAAATATTTTTATCCAATAAAAAATATTTAAAGTACATATAAATAGATAAACCTACCTATAATTACAAAATATAGAGCTTCAATTATATAATATAATATTTATATAGACATTGACATAGATGTTATTTGTATATAATATTATATAATGATTAATACGACGTTTGTTAAATATTATAAAAACACTATATTTTTTTTAATTATATGGAAATTTATGAAACTATGTATTAAATTCATATCGTATGAAACAAAAATATCCTAGTTCTATTTTACTTGTGCAATAATATATTTTTAGACTCAACATAACACAGTGCAGGAGAAATGAAATTGTTTAATGAATTTAATGCCAAAGGAACATATAATTAAACAAAATTACCTGGTGAACATGTTAGAAGAATTAGCCTGGAAATCCAGCTTGATGGCTTGAGTCAAAACTAAACAATTAGAAAGAAAAACTAAACCGTTTCAGTACTCGCCGTGTAAAATAATTAGTAAATTATGTACAATGACGACGACGACATCGACGTCCGAATCGCGCACCGTTCGCGTTTAGTTATGTGCGTTTCACATTTCCGGTCGGAAGTCGATGCACACGAAAAATACGAACAAAAATAACGAGAACAAAATATTATAAATAAAATAGACACCGAATTATAATAACAATAATACAACGAGTGGCGTGGAAAAATGTTTAAAATAATTAACTCCGAGACATTCATGCGTGAACGTTTACGTATAATAACATCATGTGCGACCGCACGCGAACCGGTCCGTTCGCGCGTTAGAGACTGAGGCTGTCTTCTTCATGTCCACCCGCACAAGCACATCGACGGCCGTACCCCCGCCCCAGTATGTTTGCCAGGTAACCGGTCCGAAACATCATTGGTTGATGGTTCGCGGACCGCCCAGTTATTGGTATGCGCCGCCGAGTACCGTCACGTGTTCCCGCCGCCGTCTTGCCACGTGCTACTCCGCCACCGTACAATATTATATTATAAATAATATTATCACGTAGGTATATGGTATATTATGATGTATTGGCAAGCACGCAAGACAATAATAAGAATAATATTCAGGTTTAGTCGTTTAGGTAACATAAAATATAAATAGATATATTATGATCACGTGCGGGTTTCGATTGTTTAAACAAAATCATTATTATATTATAATAATTTATGCTTAAAAAATATCATATAAAATATACCGTATATTATTTTTGCCTTACTTTTAATATAACTATAGTTATCAAATTATTTTAATTATATATGTTAATAATAATAATTAATCCAACCATTTTAGTATCAACAAATAAATAATACATAATATGGACAATAATCAGTATGATCTATGTTTATTTCTAAATATAAATACACGGTACGAGTTAGATAGTACACTTACAAAACATGTGTATATTATATACATACTTTTTTTAGAAAAATTGTGATATCAAACATAATTACCTAAGTATTTTTTTTAGTTATACTATAGACAACTACTAGTACTACTACTACTATACGTATAGACTTTGGTAGATACTTATAAGTTTTACGATTTAAAATGAATATTATATGATTTAATTGAAATATTATAAATTTTTTTTCATTTTATACTTAATACTTAATACGTTATACTACGTTTAATAACGGTGATAAAATACTACCAACCGGTAAGTTTATACTTCATAGATACGAAAGACGACTGCTTTACTTTTTGATACTATATGTATATGCTTGAAATATTAAATAATAAGTGTAGTGTTAATAACTGCAAATATGAAGTAAAAATAACATATCTATTGTAAACTTATATCTTAAGTAACTTATACCTAGTGCCCATTATTTTTGAAGTATTATTATTCGAGAAGTGCCGCCTTTGAATTTTTCCTATAAGTCTAAAAAGATTTACTACAAAATTTGAACTTTATAATGTAACCTGTTTTTATTATGTATACTGGAATAACTTTGAATGTTATACTTTATGCTTACTATAGTAAATAGATAAATATAAGCTAATTAACAGATTAATAAATACGTTATGACAAAAAACTTAAAAATTTAGAATATAATAAAATAATAATTTCTACTTTCAGGATCATTTACGAATTAATGACTTTCTTTTTGTGATAAAGAGTTCAATTTATATTTTAATAATATATATTCGCTTTTAATATTACATATTATTAGTATTACGTCATTATAACTTTTAAAACACCTAACTAGTAATCAATATTATTATTGAAAGAACATTTAAGTCAACCAAAATATTTTTGTGATATGATGTATCAAAAAATAACAGTAATTAGTTTTATGTTAGCATTATTATTACATTTTTATTTTTATCAAACTAAATTAATAATTATTAATTTATTTATTTTACATTAAATTATTATTAAAATATTAAATTTTTTAAAGATATTGTACTCGTTTAATGTAAATTTTTAAAATAAGATCTTGTTCTGATTTTAATTATTGAAGAATAATTATTTTGATAATTTCAAATATGATCAAAACGTAGGTGCATTATTATGTGTGAGAAGCATTTAAACAACTATGATTAACCAACGCGATAGCTTTTATTGAATATTTTGTTGTCTATTTAATATTTATTATGAAATCAGGGTGGTGTTAATTTTTCTAAGATAATGTCTTTTTTTATTATAGAATAATAATTATTATTATTACTCAAAGTAAATACGAGTACCTATAATATATTATAATAGTATTTTTATCGTTGTCTTGTTTGTTTTATATTTATGTTTATACAAACCACAAGGTGATTTTGCCCTGATTTTTCAATAGCTAACAGTAGAATTATTAAATACTAAAAAAATTATGTTTTTTTTATGATATATTTTTTTTAGAAAACAATGTTTTGATAGATTTAATAAAAGAAAAAAAAATCACATTAACTAAAATCATCATTAAATTTAATATTATTAGATTTTAACGCATTCCATGGGAATTCTTACATTACGGCAGGGAAGTAATTAACATATAAGTTACTCTAAATGCAAATAATATTCTACATAATTTACACTGATATTATAATGTTATGTATTACAATAAAATTATTTACAAAATTACAAACATCGTAAATGATTCAACGACATATCAAAAAATAAATACTCACAAATATAGTATAATACTATCATATACCTAAATATCTATGTCTACGGCCGTATCATATGCATGTTTTATACTCGTTAGCTGTATTGAAACATCCTAGAGATATTTCAGGTGAAATAATAATGTTTATGTTTTATCTAAAATCGGGGAATAAAACTCGGAATAATATATTAAAATTACATTTATTGATATATTCGATATCTTTGTCACCAGGTGAAAAAAAAAGAAGTATATAGAACTATACCTATCCATTTCAATATCTAGTCACAAACATGAAACAACAAACACTCTAACATCGATTGATAACAACGATACTATAAATCAATCTTAAAGTGAAAAATAAAGTTAAAATTAAAAATGTATAGGTACGTTAATGTGTTAAAAATGATTTTATATCTATTTTGCTATCTTAACTGGATCCAATAAAAATTAGTTTACTTTTACCATTTTAAAAGACTTTTAAATAATTAAAATATCTAATTCACTAATTTTCTTCCAATCTTTCATTCAAAATTCTTTTATTCTTTAATGCATTATTCCTTCTCAGTCTATTATTGTTTAATATTTGTATACCTGTAATTATCGACAATGTTATCTCTTATAAATTATAATAATCTTTCATTTATTTAATTTTCAATATATCTAATTTTTAATATTAATACCTATAATTGCAACCTTTCACAAGTTATGTTGTTATGTAATGTATTTTTTAATATTTTTTGAGCTTTAATAGTATTTACTAGTTGCTAGTAGTATACATAAAAAATGAAAATAAAAAAACACAATATCGTATATTATTATGTCAATTGAAAATATAATTATCGATATATCAAATTCGTATTTATTTCTTTAGAGTTTAGAGAATTGCATATGTTCTGCAAATGATGATTCACGTATATAAGATTTCGAGGTCAATTAAATACTATAAGAACACGGTGTTTTGTAATTCAACCATGAACTATTGCCATTCGCTGATACGGCAAACTCCGCGCGCACGTTGCTGCTGCTACCGTTATGCGGTGGTTTTGCATTAAAACGACGTTTGTCTATACGCGCATCCGACAATGTGACGGATTTATATTTTGATCGGCGAACATAGATAAGACAACGAATAGGCTCGTTAGTTATACAAATGATTTGCATTTCGTATTGCGTCACAAAAAAACCAACAACAATGACGTGTTTAATATAATATATAAAAAAATGTACAATTTGCATATTATTATACTGGTTTAAATGGTTTAATTAAATTATGAACAGACAATTAAATATTTTGATTTGAATTTGTCATATTAATAAATACAATCATAGAATAGCAAAAAATCCAATATACAATGAAATATTTATAACTACATGTGTATAATCACAATAAATGTGTAGTATAAAAATTGAATATGTGCATATAACAAATACCTAAAAAAAGTTCAAAATAATTATCCAATGCTTATTTTTTAGTAATTTTTAAAGCTGGGATCTATAAGAAATAAAAAATTTAAAAAAATAAATATTATTATTAGAATATATAGAATATTCAATAATAAAATATTTTAAATTCTATTAAATATTAAATATATATATATATATATATATATTACGAATAATACAAAAAAGATATTTTATCATTAATTTTAAAAATGTCAATGGAAAATTGTTTAACAAATTATTATAATTTAGCATTATTCATTTTGAACTTAGATCATTATTCAAAATCTTTAATATAAATATTACGCACAAAATACAAAATTTAGTATCTAAACGACAAACACGTGCGTACAAACAATTAATAAACTATAATTTATATGAATAATCATGGTTCACAAGATTTTTAAGATTAAATCTTTTATCTTTTACTTGTTATAACTAAATATGACAACTTATAAACAGTATACTTTCGACTAGTAAATCAATAATTACTGATGATCTTTATTAGTTGAATACGATTTTATATTAATTTTTTTAATAAATATTCAAGAGCTCAAAACATAGAATTAAATGCTTTTTAGTTAAGATAGACGCAAAAAAATATTGTTCTGTTCAAATCAGTATGAAGCAAATTGTGAATATAATTAGTAACCGGCGTATCTTAAGATTTAAGAAAAATAATCAGTAACAATTTCTTGTATGTCAGGAAATTATTATGACAAAATATACGTAGTCAGTATTTAAAACATATACTGATTATAACTAGCAGAATATTATAACACTATTAATTGTATAATATAGACTGTAGTGCGACACTATACATACACCATGCTAACTTTTAATTTTATTGTAAATCTTCATAGAAATATTCATAAATTGCGATCGATTATTTTACCATTAATTAACTTTTTATGGAAATAAAAATACGATACTAGTTTAGTCTTTTAACTAATATTAATAACGTCAATAATAATAAATCACTAAAAGATAATTCTGATTGGAGTAACTATAATAATTACTATTCACAAAAATATGTTTACGATTTTGTTAAAAATATAGGTGGTATTATTATTGCTTATTTTTTTTTTTTTTTGTGATAACTATCGTAATTTTTCAAAAATTAAAGAATAATACTCCATATTATTTAATTGTTATTTCATGTCATGCATATTGTAGATTCAATTGCTTAAAGCTTTAAATTGACCGAATAAAGTTTTTTTCGTACA